ATTTTTAATTTAAGTTTACGCCCCGACGTTTAGAATACTGTACAGCCAGTACTCAAAGGTTAAGTGGTTTTCTGCTCTCAGAGGCCTTGACACATGATCTTTGTTAATGGTTTAAAATTAATTTGTTTGTTTCTAAAAAATTGTTTTATCATAATTATAAAAAAATAAAGTTTGTTTCTAATTATCAATATAGTTCTAATAATAATACATGTCAAATTTTCTTTATCCCATAACATACCTGATACCTATGTTAAACTTACGGCTGTGTAATATGAAACTTTGATAGATTTTCCCAGCCGTATTATCGGCAAGTTGTGAGAACGAAACGCCTCTCTATAAAGACCTACAAGTTGATGAAAAGGGTGCGGTTATCAGCTAGTAATTGAATATGGCCATTGTCTTTCGATCTCGTAAATTGATTGCCCCATATATTTTGTGGCCCATTTTTATGTTTATTATGGCGTATCAATTATTTTCCTAAAGGTTTTCGTCGGAGAGTTTTTTTATGATAGAGTAAAGAGAAGCATGGAGTTGACTTGCGGGAAAATACCCTCAACATGTATCCAAAACAGATGCGCGGTCGTCCTATTTACGCTTTGGGCATTCGAATATCCATACTGTTACTGAAACGCGAACTTAACGGTTTTTTTATCTGTTGGTGGTCGTTCGCGACCCGGACGGAATTTCAATATTTGTACGACCTATTTAAAATCCAGATTTCCCATCGTAGTCTAACATGATTTAAAAAAGTATTATTCGATCAGAATCCTGTTGAACCCGGCGGAGATCACGACCCGTTAATTGTTAGAATTTAGAGCAAAGAGTCCGTCAAATCAGTTCAAGCGCAAATTCATCTTATCTTAGTTCGTATCGATAGTTGAACATATGTATAGGATACGAACCTTGGTTCGGACGAAATGTTATTTTTCTATTCACATTTACGACTATAGTACTAGCCCGCAATTTGAAAATAGATCACGTTAAAAAACGATTTAGTCACCATCGCTAATCTTCAGAAATCCCACCAATCCGCGATAGAGCAGCGCGGTGGGCTCAATTCCTTGAAGATATCCTATGAGGCTCGTGCCTACCAGTTTGACATTAATTGGGCACTAAAATAAAGCTTAAATGTCGGAAGATACGACTAATAACTATTTATAGTTTTTTGTTGATAAATTGACCAATACTGTCGAATAAACACATGTTATAAGGATAACATATGAGACAAGTGTGAAACATTTCTCGCTTGACAAAGTTTTCCAGTTATAACTAGGTTTAGCACGTGTTAAAATTGAACTATGTTTGTGCGAAAAGAGCATATTAAATAATTTTGTTGAAAATTAAATTGAGTCAGTGTGAAATTCGCAGCAAGCAGCAGCCACGCCTCTTAATTTTAGCTCGTTTACTCATTCGGTGCCTTTGTTATGCTGACATAGTCTAAGAGCTGACGAACGCAACAGGCCGCCTAAAAACTTCTACTTTAATACTGTCTGTAGTTTACGCGAGTAGTAGACATTTAAATATAAACTCTGAATTCAAAAACTATAACAGAATACTAGCAAACATGAAGGCACCGTTACTCAATTCCACATGGACCCGGCCAGTTTCGGCAAATACCAACTTTGACGGAACAGATGGCGCTAGCGTGTAAGTTTTTTACTCTGACGTCAGAGACACCCCCCATCTTTAGCATCCCCGTGACCACGGCGGCTGCATCCGAAACGTCCGGTCGTAGTTAAAATAGTTTTCAAATAAGTTTAACTAATATATACCGCGTTTAACCAAACTCTTTTTATTAAAATTTCTACATATTTAAAGTTCAAGTAGATACGTCGGTACAAATTTGATAAAATGTCGACGTTCCTTCATCTAATAAAAAACGTTTTCGTTAAGTTTCTGATTAAATCTATCATAGTACAGTCATAAATCTTTGTTATTTCAGTGTATTCTGCTGTATTTTCATACTATTTTTTTGATAGAGAAGAAACAAGCATGACGTTCACTTGATGGTGAACTACCCAGCAGTATACCATTTAAGCAAGATGCCTTGTCGACCTATTTGGTTTAATATGTATGTTTTTTTAAGTCCAAGTGCAACAGCTAAGGACGACGGGGTCTCCCCTTCCTCGGTCAGAAGGGGTTTTGATATTGGAAAATCTCCGACTGATCGGAACGCGATTAAAGTTACGGCTTTATCATCTGTGGACGGTGGTACGTTACCCGAACGGAATTTCGATGTCCATTTCATTTAATATCCTGATTGCCATTGGTCCGACATGTTTCAAAAAAGTTATACATTTATTTAGCTTTATTTATTGATCCTCAATCAAGCAAGAAATATATTTATTTCCTTTTTAATTTTTTAATTATAGGATATATACTTAATCTTAATAAATAAAAGACGGTATTTAGAGATATATAATTGGTATAAGATTAACGCGTAAACTACAGATGATATTTCATTCATTGTACAATTTGTAAATATTATAATACAACTTGTTTCTTTTTTAATAAACGAGAAAATTGTGAACGCTTCTTTGTTGATTAAATATTTTTGAACCTTCGTTGATCGTAAAAACTAGATTATTCTCAAATTCCAGAAAATGTCTCGTAAAAAAGTCTTGTGATAATAGCTACTCATAATATAACGCAATCTCTTAGACAATAAAACCCGTGCTCGAATTTAATATAAAGCCCTGTGGGTTTATGCAGAATCGTGAAAAATATCGGTGTTTTTTATTAAACAGCTACGCCCATTCACTAAAACTTTGTTTATATTTTAAAAAATCAAACGAGTTAGTACTAATTGTATATAATTTAAGTATCGTCTTTAGTTTACGCGAGTAGTAAGTATTTGGTACCAGTCAGTTTCTCTAAAAACCAACTATGACGAAACAGATGGCGCTAGCGTAGTAGATTTAACTTTGGCAATTGACCCTCCATCCAAGTAAACATAGGAAACCGTCAATCCGAAGTTAAAATAAAATAGAAAAAGATTTTTAATACATTTTTTGGTGTAAGTTAAGATTTAAGCCAATAAAAATGTTTTTATTTTATTATAATATAGATCCTTTTTGTGTCTACCAATCCACGATCCACTGTTCTTAGGGGAACAGATCGTAAAGCTAAATCACGTTTCGGTTTGTCTGTTTAGTTTTAACCACCACAGCTAAAAAATACCGATACCACATCTTGTTTATGGGTATAACACGGGTATAACACCCAACGAGTCAAAGCACCGAATTGGTGCTAAATATTCTATAAATAACAATCTAGGAACTGTGTGCCGTTAAATATTAATATTTCCATCAAGGCTTTCGTCGAAGCCTCCATACAATATTGCACTACCACGCTTCTACAATCAAAAGCCATCCGGTTATTGCATTTCATTAATAAATTCCGTTCTGGTTTAATGAAGTAATCTCGCTTGAATATGGCTTTTAAATAACTATTTTTAACCGTTTAAAAACAAATTATTACTGTCCGTTTTGCAAACCAACCGCTGCAAAGCATCGGAAACGTCAGGCGAAGTTACAATAAGTTAATAGATTTCCTGTTATAAACAGTTTGTTCCAGTCCGATATAATAATAGAAATATTAAGGGGGTTAATGAAATCGTATTGCAAAAATATATCAAAATAATTAACCTATCTAAACCAGCTACGAACTAGTGTTAAGTGTTGAGTGTTACCTTATCATCTTAGTAGTAGTCTTTTAGGTCGCGAGTATAACTCGGGGTTATATTCCTGGGTCGGGCGGAATGTATTGTTGTAGTTCTTCTAAGTCCAGCCCACCAACCCGCACTGGGACAGCTTAATAGGTGTACGGTTTCAAAACCTCCTATGCGATAGAATACCCAAAGTCATTAGGTCGACTGCACAACTGTTTAGGCTGTTACATAGCTATGGTATTTGACCTTCCCTCTAATATAGAAAGAAAACAAGCACACAGTTTCATTAAATCATATTTATTTAAGATTTTTTACAAAGATATTTTCGTTAATTTCATTTGACATAGATACAAAAGCATACACTGACTACACTCAAAATAACATTTGATAGGATAAATATATATTTGCAATTTTATACACATATTGTTACCTAAGCACATCCAAAGTTTATAATTTAACTACTTATACAAAACTTACTTAGGCTACGTTGTGTACGATTGTTTATCTTATTAACAATATAGTTCACAAAACAATACTTCGTAATGTGGGCTCGACATTTTGGCGTTACAGTGAGCTGATCAGATAGATAAAGCATATAAAAAATTATCAAATCAACACGAAAATATGTGCTAGTAAGTTATTTATTTAGTATTTACAGAACAAAAACTAGAATTTGATTTTTAAGTAGAAACATATTTACTAGATTTATCCTGCTATGCTTCGCTGTAGCACATTGTGATTGAATGTTTGAGAGATAAGAAACAAACAAAGAATAAATTAGTTTAATTTTTCAATACGTAGGTATGGAGATATATAATATTTCTGTATCCACTATCTCCTTCGATATAAATACTATGTAACATATAGTTTTCCATGTAAGAAACAACCAGTGACGCCATCTGTCGGACGCGAGCAAAACACTCGTACAACCACAATAGTAACGGCGCAGTCACAAGTACACAGCTGATCGTTAAAAAACTGCTTTAAAATAGATAAAAATAATCGGTGCAGAACTTATAGTTATGAAGTGTGAGAAACAACAATTTTATATAGATTAACATAACAAATGATTCGTGAAGTCAAATTATTAAATAAATAATTCAGAATAGTTAATATATAATAGAAAACTTAAGCCGTAATTACAGGGCATATTATTCGGTTGATTTGTCTCAATAACACAAAATATAAGCAAAGATCAACTTAGCGCAACGCCGTGGGAAGTATAGTTTCGTTTTAATATAAACTTTTTACAAAACCACTTAACATCGAAAATACAGTGTACATATTAATTAACTTGATATGTCTACAAATAGACAATTATTTACACAATTTAAAGTACAGTTTCGTTAGTGCAAGTCCGGGGCCCGTTGACGAGCGAGTACCGACTCGAACCACCATTTCTGGTGGTGACGGCGCCCCTGATGAATAATTCCTTGAACGTCTCCCTAAATTGGCGGGACATGCCGCAGTAGATTGCGAAATTGATGGGATAGGAGAGGATGATACAGAAATTCGTCACCAATATCAGTTTGTTCGCGATATCGTAGTCCAGGATCTCCATCAGCGTGCTGGAAATGATGTGGAGGATGGTGACCACGGCGACGGGAATCTCGACGAGGAGAAAGACGGTTACAACAACGATGAGCATCAAGGTTGTGCAATTTGAGTCGCTCAGTCTCTTGCATTCGGTCTTGCGGCTCTCTTTGAACAACTTCTGCCGATTGACCTGCGCTGTCCTCATCGCTCTGAAGAGGAGAACGTTGAGGACCACCAGCGAAGTGCAGGGGATTAAGTGCACGAAGAGCACTCGGAAAGTGAAGTAAGCTGTGAAGTAGCCGTCCACTGATATGCTGTACAGCCAGGACGCGAGTTTTCCCTGAAAAGAGAAATACTTTTAAACGCTGTTTATTTATTAGGATTCTAATTTTCACATTCTCTTTTGACTGGGTGGGTCAGTTGTTAAGAACACGGAACGCTGTGGTTGTAGGTTCGTGGCCTACCGCCTAATAAATTTTCTTGAAGTACTAAACCACATGTGTAAATTTCCTCCTAATATTTGATATACTTTGTATAGATACTACAATGTAATTTAGCTACCAGTAACGAAGTGCTCATCACTCAATTTTTGTAGTCGTTAAAACGATCAGAATTAATAACATGCTTAACGCTTAAGGTTTTACTATCACTATACTGGTGTTCTGACAAAGTGTTTTTAATTTATCTCTATTGGTGCCTTTCTTTAAAAGAGACAAAACATAACATAATTTTATGCTGTCTTTAGTTAACGCGAGTAGTACACATTTAAATAAAACTATTATTTCATAAATAAACATAAAACCGCATATTTCCTTGAACAAAGTAAATTTAAGGTTTTTTTTCATGACAGTTAAATCCGTCTCCTTTAAATAAATGATAACCTGTACAAAATAAGGGTTTCATAAAGAATTACGAACATGTGAACTATATTTATAAAAAAATATGATCGATTCTCTAACTCAATGGTTAAACGGGCAACAATAACGTTAGGCGTGAGGAGAGTCCTTAGTTTGAATCCCGGGACTTCTGATTTCAATGGTGCAGTGTTGTTAACTATATGATTGTAAGTAAAAGTAACTAATATATCGCGTTTTAAACCTTAAAGTGTTTTATTAAAAGTGACTTGTGAAATTTGCGTAACGACGCGACGTACGAAAGATCTGAGAGATATGTAGGCTCAAACTAATCTATATTATATCATGAGAATTTGTTGAAGACTTCTCATAACTTTAAGTTCGTAAGTGGAAGGAAAGTTGTTGAAGAAGGCTGAAAGGTTTACAAGAGCTTTCGTTCGACCTCAATGCTTCACAATGAACGGAGAAGGCATAAATTATGTAATAGTTGACTAAAGTATAAACCAAATCTGTGGTTACTCTCAGAAATATTTTCGGCTACTTGCTTTAAAACACACCAATAGAATAGCAAATAACTAGATGTAACGCATGACGCAGGGCACCTGAATAAGACACTTTTTACCGTTTAAAACGCGACATATATTATAGTTACCACATGCCCACGGCTGCTGCAAAACTTCAAAAATGTCGGGTCTTAGTTAAATCAAATTAATGAACTAAGTATAATCTATAGTAATATTATAAGCCGCAAGAGTTTGTTTATTAGAACACGCTAATCTCAGGAACTACTGGTTCGAATTAAAAAATACTTTTTGTGTTAGTTAAAGCAATTGTTGAAGGAGGGTTTAAGCGTTATAACATCACGCTGCAAAATGGAAAATTGAGAAAAACTGAGTATCAACCTTTGATTGCTTCCGTTGCGCGATCTGCGAAAAATACTCTTCAACCGTTAAAATAAAGCAATAATTGTCTTTATGAGATAAAATTTTGTCGAAATTTATGCATTACTAATTATTTGATAGAGTTATATTACCATAATAATATGAATCTTGCAAACAACAAAACGACGCATCAGTTTGTTTTATATATAAGTTAAAATTTCGCGATTTTAAACCGTTAAATGCTCTACAAAAACTGTATAACATCTTAAGTTGAGAACGCGTCTGTATAATCTAGACATTAAATAGGTGGTAATAATATCATAATTCCGTCCGGGACACGAACCAATGTCCACACACGCAGAAGTCGTAATCGTTTATTTTGAATTCAGTTACTATATCGAAATGTCAAATACTTTTAAATAAAACTTATTTGAAAATGATTTTTAACTTCGGCCCGACGTTTCGGATGCTTTGCAGCAGCCGTGGTCACGGGAAGACTAAAGATGGAGGATGTCTCTGACGTCAAAGTAAAAAATTGCTACGCTAGCGCCATCTGTTCCGTCGAAGTTGGTATTTGGCGAAACTGGCCGGGTCCTTGCAAAATTTACTAACGGTGTCTTTGCGTTTGCCGGTATGCTGTTTATCTAATATATCGCGTTTTAAACCGTTAAAGTGTTTTATTTAAATGTGTACTACTCGCGTAAACTATAGACAGTGTCAAATACTTATAAAACTTGACACTACAAAACGATATGATCTGCAATTCTACCGCGAACGGATGTCCAAAATTAAGGTCACGACTTGAAAGAGCTGTTTACATAATGTTTCCACTTTTTGCTTCCGAAGGTAACTCATACGAAATCAGGGTATATCGCAAACTTATTGCGCTGTTAGGGCAGGTAGAAAACAAAGTTATAAATTACTTTTCTTCGAAGACATACTGTTCGTTCCCCTATACATGAGTCCCCTATACGTAGTTGTGTATAAAAAGTAGCATGAGGAAAGATTTATGGTTGACTGGGTGGAAGGTGGAATACACCAGCAAAGATGACTGTAATCGATACGGGGTACGTTAACTTAGACAATTTTAGAAAAATTATGTTTAAGTTAAAACCCACTTTATATTGAAAAGATTTTGATATAACACGGGTAGGATTTGAACCGGCGTCCACAGAGCGGTCCCCGTGCTCTTGCTTTAATCGAGACTGTGTCCTACGCGTCATCGTGGAATTTTCAAACTATTTATATAATATATTGTATAATGTAATTTCAACTTTACCACTTACTTCTAAGGCTTACTATCTTTTGCTTTCCAGCTTAATTGAAGTTGAAATTACAGATTTTAACGTTTGAAAACTTTAATAATTTCTAATGTTAATGCACACGATGGCATAATATAAATTGAAAAACGATTTCAAATTGATTTTTTCACAATAACATACAATATAACACGCACAAGAAACAACATTATCTATATTTCAACTGGAAATGCAAATATTCCCCTCGTTAGCAAAACACAATGAGTACAAAGAATAACAATGTATAAAGTGGCACCTAGGAATTTATCACCCTAAGTGTAAAATTAATTATTCGTAGTCGCTTTAGTGCATAATACCTAGCTTACAGTCGCTGTAACATTCAGCGCAGAGGCAATAAATTCTATTTTAATTTTATTTGCCTGGTAAAGCACAAAAGTTGATCTTGTTGTTCGCTACTATAAATAAAAATTGTATTAAGAAAAATAAATTTCAGTCTTTTAAATAAAATACTTTAACGGTTTAAAACGCGATATATTAGTTAAACTTATTTGAAAATGTTTTTTAACTTCGACCCGACGTTTCGGTTGCTTTGCAGCAGCCGTGGTCACGGGGAGAGTCTCCTCGTAGCAACGTCAAATAAGTTTAACTAATATATCGCGTTTTAAATCGCTAAAGTGGTTTATTTCAACAGATGATTGTTTTTAAGATGGTGGAAGTACTTACTCTACAGACTTCTTCTCTGTGACCTCTCCAGATGGTATAGTGGGGCACGTACTCCTTCTCGAAGAACCGAGGGAACTGATGAAGGAAAGCCGCTATCCCGATGTATATAAGACACTTTTTCACACGCGGCATTGTACACCTGCAAAAAAGAAGTAAAATTTTTCTTTTTCAATGTTCTGGCTTCCGTACTCTGCTTAACTATTGTATTACCGTAAATATAATAGTAACTATCTGACCTGGAAAACGTTGTTTTGCCATAATGTGGATTTCGACGAAATTTAATTACTACAATAACGCTTCTTGCGAGTTAATCTTTAAATGTAAAAGTTTAAAGGACATATAAATTGTCGCGCAGTAGATTATTTAAAAAAGGTATCATTCTTTATTTATCCTAAATTCTCGAAAATAAATCTTTTTCCCCGTTTTGTCCACCATTCCCCCTTCGCTACTGTTAGTCGCAGCCTATAATTGTTTAATTCCTATCAGTAGTTCCTGAGATTAGCGCGTTCAAACAAACAAACTCTTCAGCTTTATAATATTAGTACAGATAACTAGACTAGACAGTAAACTCTGCTTCTGAAAGTAGTAGTAGTATCAGAAAAGTCTTTCACTCTCTCAAAAGAAAATCGCACAATTAAGTAATTTTCCACTGGAAAAGTAGGGAATTATATGCGAAAATCGTTTAAAACACTGTCAAACAAACGCAAAGTATCACAAAGAAAACTCAAAATCCAATCCGCCGGATCAAAGCATAACACCCATCCATTAAAGTGCCATCGCCGAAAACACTTAACTGAAGTTATTAAAAGTGCGTTAAACTTTTCTCTTTCGTCGGAAAACAATTGAGATTCTGTGCGGGCTCGAGATTTCGGAACCCGTCGAATATTTATTATGTGTTATTGATGTTGTACTGTTCCGAATTCGCTTATGCAAAGCTACTTTTATATTATCTTACGTACTTAATATTAGACTCACATGTTTGACGGTATTCTTGGATTGCCATTTTGTTAAAGACGAGGAACTTTATCAGGCTCGTTGGATTAAATGTATGTAAGGCTTAATAACCAACTTATTTTTAAACAATTTATGTATTAATCTTCTAACTAATTGTACTGAAACGGACACATACATTGTAAAATTTACTTTTCTTTTTGTTTTTTTTTATCTTCCAAGGAGAAAAGACTAAAATAGAGTTTACTTTCCAGCGCTATAAATTTGAAACAAGATGGGCTGTCGATCTATTTTGGCTATTTATCCGACTTTAAGACTTTTATCTGTGTACCGTATTACGTAACGGTGTTACATGTTTCAAGAAAAAAATTGATGAAAAAAATGTCAGACCTGGTGGGGATCGAATTCACAACCCGTTGATTATGACCCATACATTGCTAGCATTAGACCAAAGCGAAAACATTTTCTAAGGAGCGGTCAAATAGTATGCAGTAGTAAAAACACAGTACAGTAGATTTGAGTCAGATTCGTTGAGCGAGAGAAATCACAGGCTGAATAAAATCAGCATAACAATCAGGTGAGGCGTGTCCCGAAGCGGCTAATGGCCGTAAAAGCGGTATCGTTGTAAACAGGACGTAAAAGATTCGGCCATTTTATTGGCCTCGTAAACGTTCCCTGTAGTCTATAGAACAAACAGCTAATTTCGTCTTTTCGCGGCTACTACTAAGTCCCATACAACCACGTTGGGAAAGAACGCATTAGCGATTAAGGTATACCGCGTTGAGCAATGAGTCCGTCGTTTACGCGGGTAGTACACCTAATAATAAATTTAAAACATGATAATTTTAGCGGTTAAAAACGCGAAATGTTTTGGTTTAAATTATGAAATTATTGTAACTATTGCAAAGGTTTGGAAACGACTGGACGTAGTTAAAATAATTCGCAAATAAGTAACTAAAACATCGCGTTTTAAACCGTTAAAAGTGTTTTATTTAAATGCATGCCACGTTGTAAAAATTGAAATATGGATTGAAAATATTTGAAGTCTGTAAGTGTTAACGTTGTATCAATAAGTTAAAGAAATTCGATGACGTGTACGGTAGCTCAATTGTTCAAAGCCCGCCCAGTGTCAACAATTTTTTTCAATCTAAAATGATTTTCACTGTATACAATGTTATCATATGCAGCGTGTGAAAAGTCGGGCTTGGTTTGATGGTAATAATGGTTGATCGTGAGTTCGATTCCCAACGAGTCCAACATGTTAATTTTTTTAAATATTTTTTCTAAAACGAACATGGAAAGTAGGAATATCATAATTCTGGCCTAGTTAAGATACACAGATGGTACAAAAGTCGTAAAATATACATCTGCGAATTGGATTCAGTTTGTAGATTTTCTAATTTTGAAAGGCAAAGACTATCAGCGGATCTAAGATGTTTGAGGATGTAAGTAGTTGATTCTCTATTATGTGAAAGACATGCTTGTGTCTTTTTGTGAGTCTGCTGAAGAATTAAATAGCAAAAGTAATTTTTGTTAATAAAACGATACTTTTGGGTTCAATTTATAATTTTCCCAAATAATGTCGGTTTTATACTGTAAATAGATATATATATATATATCTTTATAATATTTATATCTTTAATAAATATTAAATGTGGTAGGAACATTGACATAGCGTCCGGGTCACGAACCACCGTCCTCAGAAGAAAAAATCGTGAAGCCTATGGATTCCGAATATACATAAAGTAGGTAGGTGTATTTTAATAAAACACTTTAACGGTTTAAAACGCGATATATTAGTTAAACTTATTTGGAAATGATTTTTAACTTCGGCCCGACGTTTCGGATGCTTTGCAGCAGCCGTGGTCACGGGGAGACTAAGTCTCCCGATATATCGCGTTTTAAACCGTTAAAGTGTTTTATTTAAATGTGTACTACTCGCATAAACTATAGAACCCTAGTATTTCATCTGCCATCATGTGAAATCCATGTTTGTTTGTCCTCCTCTATGATAAAAAAAGCAAAGTGACATTTAAATATTTGTAAGTATACTGTGGTTGCCTATCTGCAATCGGGTCTTTTTGGTCGAGTTTTATTTCCCGTATAAATTAGGCGATGTGTAGTTGTTGCTTTGATAGTCCATTTTAGATTTGTTTTTGGACGGAAATAGTTTTGGTAACATAAACAAAGCTAAATATAAAATATACACAACAAGCAAGCATCGTGAAGAATACACAGTTTTAAAACACTAGGCGGCCTTACAAAAATAAAAGCACTTTCAAAATAATAACTATTTTTATACATAAAATCGGTTTTATTTTTTCTAAGTCACTTTCAGTGTCTGTTATATTTTTGTCTAATTTTTATTACAGGCTAATTATTCAATTGCGCGCTGCCTAAAACCATGAATTCCTTTTATTTACATTATAGTATTACATTCGTATTACATTATTTTCACAAGTAGGGTTGCCCGGAGGAGATCGCTTAATAGCGAGAAGTCAGCCCATTGCACACCATAGTTTATAGCCATGGCTCATTGTAGTTGAATGTTGTGTAATAAAGAATAAATATTACGGTGTTATGTTTGACTTATTTCACCTTCCATCTAGTGAATTTCATGCCTCTCTGTCTAACACTTATCATAAAAATCAAAGTGATTATCTCTGAAATCAAAAGAGTATAAAATACAGAAACTTAATTAAAACTGGATGAAGATAAGTTAACATGGCTGATCGAGATTAATTTTGTCCAAAGTTCAATTCATGCATATTCTGGTTGAATGATGAAGCTATCCAGTTATGCCCAAACAGCCATCTACGGCTATAAACGCATTTAGATTATAATATATATAATCCTGCAATTTAGGGTTGCAGTCTGTGAAAGTTTAAAATTGTTTTTGTCCTGAACTTTCCAATTTCAGTCTACGTTCAGTGCCTTAGTCAACATAGGTCGACAACCCATGTTACATGTAGGGCTGGCCGTTTTACCTTTAATTTTAACTTTAATATTTAGATTGAATTTATATATAATAAAAACAACAAACAAACGGAAGAAACACCTGTGAACATACTTTTTTCTATCTCATTCATAAATCAGCAATGTAATTTCACGTAAACACTTAAATAATAAAATTCCAGACTATTCCTTTACTCAATATTTTTTAAAATGGGTTTATCTAACATTCATACTCCTCTGAAACGACTATACTGATTTTTATGAAATTATATATGCATATTCTGTCGGTCTGTGGATCGGTTACAATCTTCATAGCCTCAGTCATATGGGTTGTCTTATATAATAATAGTTGTTTAAGTAATTAGATCCTGTCTATAGTTTACGCGAGTAGTACACATTTAAATAAAACACTTTAACGGTTTAAAACGCGATATATTAGTTAAACTTACGGGGAGACCCCCCGGGACCACGGCTGCTGCAAAGAATCCGAAACGTCGGGCCGAAGTTAAAAATCATTTTCAAATAAGTTTAACTAATATATCGCGTTTTAAACCGTTAAAGTGTTTTATTTAAATAATTAGATCCTTTTCATCCTGCTCGATAACTGATCAAATTAGTAAGTACCCCCCTGCGTTTACCGGTGACTCCTCCTTATAGTAAATTCATGTTTTATTACAATGCCAGCTCACCTAGTCACTTATAAATTATCTAGAGACAGCCCTACATCGATATGTGCTTTATCAAATTGCCAGTACACTATCCTCAATGCAAAGTCCAATATCCGTTTATAGACAATCAATAACTATAATATGTATGAGTTCGCATCCGGTTTGCAATGTGATTAGGCTAACCTTAGTCCTCGGTTAGATAATCTATATGACAGGCTCACTTGACAAATTTTTGCCATAAATTCGTTTGGGAGAGAAACAGGTTTTAAATTTTTATATAAAAGTTAATTTTTGTATTGGCAACATGAGTAAATGTTCATGTATTTTGTTGCTTACTGTGTCTCCGCTTAGAGCAAAGTACACCATCTCCTGATGATGGTTATCCGTGATGGAAGCAACGATAAAAATACGGTATCCAAACAGCTCCAAAAATCATAAACTACGCAGGAATTTTACTGAAGTTTTTTATTTTAAAGTGTAATTTCAAAAACAGCTTTCACTGTTGTAATTCCATAAACGTTTTCTGTTGAAAGACAGTGTTGTGATAAATTATGCGTTGTTATTGAACTTTTGTTAAATCAACAAAACAATAGAAACGATCTATAAATTATATAAAAAAGAAATGAAAAACCAAGAAACAAATAAAAACACCTACATTAATCTATTTTTTTGCCTTACAAAATTAGTCAATGCTTCGGTTGTTTTATAGCGGGGCTTATGTTTAATCTGGTATCCAGAGAGAAACCCCGCTATCTCTACGAGAAGTTAGAATGGGCCGAAACTTCGCACTCTCTTAAAACAAGGAGCAGGACGCAGAATCTTTTACTCATCCCCAAGCACAGGACATCTAACTTCCAAGGAGGATCAAATATGCCGCTTCAAAAATATGGAACGATCTGCCTCCACCTCTTAGAGCTAGTTCTAAGGAGATGACCTTCACGACGTTCAAGCGGCATGTTAAACTGGACCTCCTTGGAAAGCAGATGTGCATTAATTAATGGTTATTATTGTTGCTCTATTATGTATATGTTTGATACTGTTATTTTATACCACTTTACTAAAAATCACTCCTTAACTTCTATACGCGGGCCAGTCTGAAAACCAGCGCTGCTGAGTGTGACAAGCATTCAGCAGCATAGCTGAGACTGGTACCGATTGCCATCTCTTATATATTGATTACTATATTATTATTCTTTTTATGTACACATTTAGTTATAAGTTGTAAATATATATATTTTATGGCAATAAACGTTTTGAATTTGAATTTGAATAGTTATTAATAATGTCACTAACATGTCTGTCTTTATATCTATATATTATATACGACTGTTTTAGTTCGAACGCGCTTACATCGGGAACTATAGGTACGTATTTATAAATTATTTGTGATGGTTAAAGCCTTCCTGGATCTGACGGATGTCCAGGAAGGCTTTAGGCTATAAATCATCAACAACAATAGGAGTGAACAAACAGTAGTAAAAAAAACCTGGGAAAATCAACTTTGAGGGAAATAAAAATTTACAACTACAGCGTTCTTTTACGATTCAGAAGAACAAATGGCAACAAGACGTTTGCCAGGTCAATTAGTAATAGATACATCTTAAAGCCTAACTTGGAATAACAAAGTAGAAAAGGGCCTCTAATTAAAGCTTATTATTGTTTGCTCAGCTTCAGAATGTTCGAGATATGCCTGGCATGCCAGCTAAATCCTAGAGGTAAATTAATTATAGCTGCTTGATTGGAATCCCGTACATTCCTCGCGTATTCCGGATTATAGGGTCTGTTTATTTAACAACGATACCCTCGTATTGGGAAATATATTAACAAAGTATTATAAACACTTTGAAATGAAAACAAAGATCGAGTTTTCGTGACCACGGCTGCTGCAAAGCATCCGAAACGTCGGGCCGAAGTTAAAAATCATTTTCAAATAAGTTTAACTAATATATCGCGTTTTAAACCGTTAAAGTGTTTTATTTAAATGTGTACTACTCGCGTAAACTATAGACAGTATATATTTTGAGTTTTAAACCGTTCAGTGTTTTATTTAAATGCAAAAATGTATTTAGTTTCTTGAATTCTATGGGCTACTTTAATAAATTGTATGGATGCCGTGAATTTAACTGACCATAGTAATAAATTCAAATTGTTCTAGATTCTCATCCTATAACAACGTTATATTTTTTTTAAATGAAAACACGGCCAAGTGTGTCGTCAAATCTGCTAGATTTGATTTTGATATTAGGGACACCCTAATCGTGCAATACTTCAAATAAATTAACGAATATATTTCGCGTGTTAAACCGTTAGGAATGTTTTATTTAAACGACTATACTTTAGTGCCTTTGACTAGATCGGTAATACATTATGTTTAGAAATTTCTTTGACCCACATTAGGGTAAGGGGATTACTTCTACATTAAAAGTGTATGAACGTACCATGTTCTTGCGACTGGTGCATGACACACGTAGATGTATCTCTGTACCGCTAATGCGAGGGTGAGCCATATACTAGCAGTATGAAACATCGCGGGTATTACCTGAAAAAATAAACATACAGTCTTACAATCGTATATAAGCTAATACAGTATTGATTTTGAAATTATTCAAATTGAAATCCTTCTTATCCTAGTGACATAGAAGGCTTATCCAAAGTTAGCAAAAAGTAAGTTTATACATATTAACGTTAACAAAAATATCAAAAAATACTATTGTGTATAATGTATTTATAAGTCATAGATTATAACTAAAGATTTAATAATAAAGAAGGTAAATTATTATTTAAAAAATTAAGTTCCTATATAACTATTTGGAGTAGGAATATCGGATGTACAAACCGACTTCATCAAACCGTAAAATCGGTTTCGCTTATGGTCTGCATATAGATCGACAGCGCACCTTCCTTGTATATTATACCTTCCGTCTGTCCTTCACAATCATAAAAAATATTGCATATATTCATGACAAACGTGTACGTAACGCAAAGTCTAGTATATACCTAGTCCAATACCCTTTGAAGTCTCCGCTGTAGAAAATGTTAGATATAAATTGGCTAAAATGAACACGGACTCGCTCCATCTCTCGAAAAACTTTTTTTGTAAATAAAAAATAATAATATTTATCAATGGAACACATTTCCTTGTTTTTTTAACTGGTAGTGCAATAAAGTATTCCATTATTATTTACTTAATAACTAAATACTTAAAATAATTGAACTTACAATTGTCTAAACGATTTCTTTGATGACAAGACCGCCTGGCAGTAATATGAATTACTCCCTAAGTTAATAAATTCACAATGTTTATAAGGCAAGTTTAAAAAAGTAGGACTGATCTTCTTAGGTGATCTTCTCAGTTATGTTGCTCTTTTGAACACTGTAGAATCACGACAAACAGACAGATAGACAAACAAAAATAAATTTGGCGAATCTAAATAATCTTTATAATTTTAAAGAGAATAAAGTATATTTTATTCTTTTTTATTTTATTTTACAAAATTCTACATAATTATTAATTTTATACATAAGCACACCACACATTATCTTCTATACTCACGTTTTTTTTTTCAAAATAATGTTTAAATAAAACATAAGTGTAGAAGATACTAAATAAATATAACGTAAACATACGACATATAATAAATAACATAAAATCAAAATAAAAATTAATTTTAGTTTAACATGAATTTTATTAGAACGAAATTTTACGAATATTTTCTTATAAAAGATCATCAAATCCCTGCGAGGGAATTAGTGAAATGAACCAACCGTATCTTGGTAACTTAATTAGCTATACCAATTTTAATATTAACATATTCCCTTAATTGGTATGAAATGACTCCAATGCACATAATAGAACCTAAAGACATAAAGAAGAGGCTCTACCAATTTGAGTTCCAATTGTGGCTACTGTACTGACTAGTTTTTTAATTAAGATCAATTTATATCTATAATGTAATATATGATAATAATAATAAATAAAACTAGATGTGGATAAGTAAAAACTGTACCTATTATACGGGTTAGATATTAGTGTTTGTATTTTCAATCATATCACAAAGGATAATATTTGTATTTAAATAAAAGTAAAACACTAAATATCAAAATAAATTATACATTAAAAACTCTAAATATACATATCCCACTAGTTATTAAACTAAGGGCGTAGAAAGAACGAGAAGAACTGGCAAGAAACTCGCCGCCACGCCTTTTATCGCCAAGTTTTATTCAAAAAGTCTTCACTTAACCGAATACTAACATCTTTCTTGTTGGAGCTGATTTCAAACCAATGATTATAGAGATAATATTGTTTTAGATTTTGCTAGACACATGATTTTGCCACTTTTATTATGTGTGGTATTTTTAAGCGAAAGATGCAATATCACGTTTTCGAGAACTAAAAACAGACATTTCAAATTGAGCGACACATTTTACAACGAAACGAAGGGAAATTCCATTTTCCACATAATATACAATTTTCTCCGGATACACGTCACGAGCGGAAATAAGAAGCGTTTCAACTTAATAGCTTTAACTCTTGAATGTCAAAACCATGTTAGTTTTGTTCAGACGACAAAAGGGGAAACGTTTATATGAATTTAATCCGGGCATATTTATTCGTAGGGTATCTAACGGACACATTTGTATCTGGCTCTGATCGCTTTAAATCGCAAGTAGTTTATCGCCTAACGCGTTGCTATGCACGTAATTCACTTGTATTTTTTTCCTTGTAATAGTAACAATGTTTAGTTAAGTATTTTTTACAGAACGCGCGAACAAACAAGTGTTGGTCTTGTGGTTTGAGTTATTGAGTTTATTTATTAATAAATTAAATTTCAGTATAAAAAAATCAGGCGAGTAAATAACAAGAACTTTGCAAGAGTTATCGGACGTTCAATCCTCTGTAGTGTCAAAAATTTATGTTGTTTATCCTTAAAGAAAATTGTTGAGACAACCGACATATACATAGAGGGAAATAATGAAATACATGTCCTGTAGCTTACGCGAGTCGTACACGTTGGAATAAAAAAAATTAACAGTTTAAAATACGAAATGTATTACTTATGTTTGAGAAACATCGGGCCGTAGTTAAAATAAATTAACATATATATTTCGCGTTTTATATCGTTAAAAGTGTTTAATTTAAATTGATGACGTGCCCTAACACGCAAACGGTCAGTGTGACACACGGTGTGAACTGAAGCCACCATTTTTTATTGTTTTATTAAAAACAAGACAATGCAAGCACTTAAGTGTCAATTATAAAAGAAACAGCAGTGCTGTAACTCTGCATCGTTCGTGCACTTGTTAAATAATAAAATAGTAATTATGTGGTTGCTCGTTTCGACGGCAAACAATTGACTCTGCTAGAAGTCTTTTACCCGCGGGAAATGAAATTCAGTTCCACCGGCTTTTCATTCCGAACAATGCATTTTCGAGCTGTTTATAAAAGAATCTGGAAAGTGGTCTAGTGGTGTAGTGGTTATAGCATTTGGCAATGACGTGGCAGCCGTAGCCTATCTTGGCACTGAACTTGCACCACATAGTGTAGTCTAGGGTCTAAACCCCTCTTGTATTTGTTATATACTCTAGCTGATCCGGCAAACGTTTTGTTGCAAGATAAACATTAATACGTTGATACAACTCTAACAAATAATTGGATTCAATTCTATTAAATTTTTCGCACCACAAAACGGAATAATTTGCCGCGGCCCCTCTACATTTTCCACTATTTCTTCGCTCCTATCGGTTGCATCGTGATATTACAAACGCCTGAAGTCTTTCTCGATAAGCGGTCTATTAAAAAAAATCAATTCAAACTCAGTAGTTCCTAAGGTTATCGCGTTCAAACCAAAAAACTATTTTACAGATGTGCTGCGCCCAGTTGTGGGACATTATTGAAACATGGTGTTTAATATTATTAAGTAATTGCAGGTACCGTATAAAATTAACTGTTTAAATAATAATTTACTCGCTTTTCATTAACTAAACTACTTAGATATTGAGCTGTTCAGCGATCGTGACTTGACGTTTCGACAGCTGAAACAGTTATCAATGAAAATAAAAATGAGAAAAAGAAAGATGATTTATTGTTAGACTTCATCAATTTACTATTAAAAAATATAAAAGAATAATATGGTGAATTGTTATAGATCTAGTGTCAATTCATTAATTAGCTTTATAAGACATAAGTGAAATAATAGAGAAAAAAAATCATTTTCGTGACTAAATCTACAACGCACAAAAGGCGCTGTATTGTTCTCAGGCGCTCCTTGTTTTTTACAACCTTTTGTGGGGAGATATTCCAGTCTCTTTGCTCCAAAAGAAAATATACTATTTCCCTTTTACTACTTCTTATTGTAAATAAAACAATATGCCTGAGGTGAATTCCTGATCAACTAATTAGATGAAGGTAAAAGAGCCATTAATTAATGGTTTTCTAATGTTTTATTATGGACTGAAGAGTTATTGTAGGCGGTGGTAATTAGACAAGGCTTGTGTACAGAAATGTAAAAAAAACACAATGAAATGAAATTCAAACAAAATAATATAGGGAGATTAGTTAGGCTTACCTTTATTTTCTATTAACATCGTTAATCATTTATAAATAAATCAATGAAGTGCGGTAAACGACTTTGGGTCAGTTGAGAGAGGTGTTCAAAATTTGAGTCAACAAAATTAATATTTTCGATTCGGTTGGATTGAAATTAAGGACTGATTTAAATAAAAAAATTTTAACCGTTTAAAACGCTAAATATATTAGTTACTTATATTTAATTTATTTTAACAAAAAAATTTCGGAAGCTTTGCAGAAGCCATGGTTACGGAGGGCGGAAGATGGATTGTATTCCTAATGTCAAAGTCAAATCTTCTATGCTAACGTTTTTTTTGTCGTCATTGGTATTTGGAGTCCTGGGTCTTCATAGAGCTGCCTCACGGCATCTCCCTCGTTTAAACCGTTCAAATGTGTACACATTTAAATAAAACAGTTTTACTGGCGTAAACTACAGACCAAACTTATGTACGTATTTCAACCTTTATAAACCACATGCTTACAGAGCCTAAGCCTACTCGTAATTAAACGTCTTTTATATTTCATTCTACTCTTTCTACGTGTTAATATATATCGTAAATTCTTAAAGCAGCTTCACACCTTCGAGACGTATTTATCGAGAAATCATTTTTCAGAAGAAAATGTTTGCAGAAGCGAATTTTCTCACGTGCGAAGTATATCAACGTTCTGTTTTCCTCGTAGCGAAATTCTGATATCCCAGCGATTCTTAGAATATGGATATCTGCTATTTCCGTTCACTTTTTCGTTGGTTTGATTATGAGTATTATTTTAATATGAATTTTATGTAGCGGTTCGTGAATTGGTAGAAATATAGGGTAAATATTCTTCTACATTTTGTAAACACGTGGGACCTCGTTTAGAGGTTATCTAAACATTAGAGCGGTTGAATAACCCTTAATAGGTCGACAGGACATTTAAATTTGAAATAACTTATAGGCCAGTACAATAGTTGCTTTAGTTTTACCTTCACTCATCAAGTCTTCTGCCCTTCATCTGATGGAAAAAAGGTCAACGGTATATTTAAATTTGATTTTATAGACAGGCCCTATAGTTGCCCCAGTTTCATCTTCACCCTTCTAGCAAGTCTTCTTATAGAAGATAGCAACGCCTATATCTGATAGAATCCATAAAAATTCTTCTGATGACGTAACCAACGCAGAAAATCTTGCCTACCCCCAGAATTGATAATAACAAGTGTCTCCGAACCTTATCGCGACCATTCAAGACAATGGAGCTGAACTTAACTATTGGTTTGAGGATTGACTCCGTACAGTATCTGATACTGTTGGAGCCGTTTTAACCATTATGTCATCCAGAACTCGCATAAAAATATATGGGTTTCATTTTTATTATCCCTCGGGACACTTTTTGTTCGGGCCGATATATCTTTCTAGGGCAGAGCTTGAAACAGTGGGATGCTGTAATGATGAAAAGCGTTTTATAAGATAAAAAGGCCTAATATCTATAGAGCTTAAGGAAAACCCTCTACAGGTAACGAGGAAATTTTATTTCTAAATATGCGATATCAAAAGCGTATTAACTTTCACTTGTTCAATTTGTTCCTAACCTTTTTAATAAGTAAATAAAACACTAACGGTTTAAAACGCGATATTTATTAGATAACTTATTTGAAAATATTTTTTAACTTCGGCCCGACGTTTTATATATATCGCGTTTTGAACCGTTAAATTGTTTCATTTAAATACTACTCGCGTAAACTACAGACAGTGTTAACCCCTTTTAAATAGTCACGTGTTAATGTATAACGAACTTTTAAGTCTTGTCCTTAGTTTACACGTGTACTTCACTTTTAGGGGTTTAAAACGCGAATTTCGCGTATATTTCGCCGGGCTGTAGTTAAGATAAAATTGTAAATAATTTATCTAGTATATTTCACATTTAAAACCGTTCAAAGAGAGAAGCTTTAATTGTAATTCAGACATAATAGTTTTTAGTGAAAGATTATTATTATTATTAACAGTATATACGAAACTCCTCTAAAATTGTTAACGAAGCCATACGCAAAAAATATCGCTCAATATTTGAAAGTATAATACAAAATTTGCCAAACCCCCAAATTCTTAACAAAAGATCCATCAGAACCATCGTTGACATGTTTACAAACGGCTGCAAATCGTACCTAAAGCGTCAGGATAAACCGGTCTGCGGCGGTTAAATCCAGTTCCATCCAGATTTATCCAGATAACAAGCGGCTCGGTGCGATTAGGTTAATCGTGGAAGTATTTATTATTCCCGTCCGCAATTTTCTTCTTAAAAATATGAAGTTAATAATCGTGTGTAGGTTGTGTTACTATTAAGATCTTGACGTTATTATAACAAATATTCGTGCCCTAGAGTTGTTACTGTAGTGGTTTTGGATGTAAAATAAAGTGATGGAATTACTAAGTGTGCAAAGCAAACATATGAAGAAAAATGCCTCGGATTCATAAAACCAATTCGTTAAAACTATATAGATTGAAAATTTTCGTTAGAATATATTATTCTAGGTAGTAAAAATACGTGCATAGTTTGTTTTAAACATTTTTGTTGTTTGTCTTTGAAAGTTTAAGCGTATAGAACATAAAGAACCTAGTCAAGTTAAACTAACTCTGATATATTATTTTCGTTGTTATATTATAACGCCTATTTCATCTTAACTAACTGTAACATTTCTTTAAACTTGCTTCTTCCTCTGCAGGCCAAAGGAACGTCTTCTGATGTGACGTCAAGTCCCAATGCTGTAGGTTGGCCTTTGATGGGCATATGGTTTAGCTGGTTTACAACCCTTTAAATGAGGATCAACTGGCGAGTATAGCCACTAAGTACATATATCGTTGAGGTTTTCGGTTGCTTTTCGGGGGATTATTAAGTTGGCTAAGCTGCCAAGCCAAGTAAGAAATACTTACGTCATTCATATAATTCCACGCCTGACACGCTTGGACGGGGCTGAGGGGCTTGTAGTGGTTTCCGAATGTGTACATGTAGAAGAGCCAGGGTGCTGGGAACAGCATCGTGAACATGTCGCAGAGAGCCATCGCCATTAGAACGACGTTGGTGGGTGTTCTCATGTGACGGCGCGATAGCACGACTACGATTAGAGTATTGGCTACTGTCGTTGTGGCTAGCAGGAAGGGAGCGATGTACCTGCAAAAAATATAAAGGAATTTGAAATAAAGCACTTCGGACAGTTTTAAACCCAAAAACTATTAGTTTTTTTTTTCAAAATGACCCGAAGTTTGGAATACGTTGAAGGAATAAGATTAAAAAATCAAAAATTGTATATCAGATTTCAGCGCCTATTTTGCTGCTTGAGTTTTGGAGCTGTTCGACCGTCGTAATTAAGAAATTATTCTCGTCGCTTCGCTATTACAAGTGTTTTGTGATTATACTAGTTATTTATCTGAACATCAAAAATAAGAATATTGTAAGAGGACTACTGATATGACGTGATCGAGGAGGGGATAAGAGGTAGTGGTGACAAGTCGAAGCTTTTGCACGCTCCATTTCGACGAATTTGCCCAATTGAATAGTCAACCTGTCTTTCTTTCTTAATATAAAATAAGAAAGTAGGACTTTTTAGTTTTTTGTGATTTAATTTAATCTAGAATCAAGTTATAATAATTATTGCCTTTTTTATTATACTCCACTACTGGTCCTAAGAAATATATCTTTAGTTAGGCGATTAAAGTATAAAACCTCCATGACAACTTACCCGTACATGGGCTCTGCATAGTTAACCGGAAATTGGCAAGTGACGTTCAGATATACGTGCGAGTAGTTCGACGAGCAATAATCGTCCGTAGTGAAATTGGACTCATGGTACTCCAAGTCCAGGGTCTGGTTGTCGTAATAATTATTGTAATTCGATTTATCACTGCCATCTATATCGGAGTAGCCGTCGTCGATGAGTTTGAAATCCGAGCGCGAGTTGTTGACGTAATATTCCGCCCATGCCTTCTCGTGCGCCATTTTTATTTATGGTTATCTCACGCTTGACAATGACATCTTTGACGTTGACAGCTGTCGGAAACGGTTACTAATGTCTCGCTTATCTGTGGACAACAGATGATTTATTATTATTACCTTCTAATTTTGAACATAGATTGATGTAAATATAAAGGCTATGATGAGGCTGTGGTCTTCAATCGCCGCCACAAGCCGCGTTAAATGTAACGCATTACGCCGCGTCATTCAATCTTAAATACTCTCTGTAGTTTATGCGAGTAGTACAACGGTTTAAAACGCTATATTTATTATTATATTCTTAAACTTATTTGAAAATTATTTTAACTACGGTCTCCCCGTAACCACGGCTGCTGCAAAGCATACGATACGTCGGGGTCGTAGTTAAAATAATTTTAATTAATATACATATATCGCGTTTAAAACCGTTAAAGGCTTTTATTTAAAAGGTTCAAACTTATCAACTGATCAGTACATAATACAGATACAATAAAAGTGGTAAGGTTGAAATGACACTGCGCGGGAGGTGCTTGTATTAATAAGTTGAAAAAATTCGATGATGAGGTGTAGGACTCGGTATCTCAATTGGTAGAGCAACAGCACGGAACGCTGACGATGCCGGTTCAAGTCCTGCCCGAGTCGAAATTTTTTTCAATTTATTTTCGATTTTTAAATTATATAGTGCCTTCATGTGCAATAACATGTAAAAAATATTAATGTTTTCAAATGATCAGTACATTTTTTTGTATACCATCAACGATAGCAGCGTGTAAAAGAGGCAACAACGACGTTTTGGATGCTTTGCAGCAGCCGTGGTCACGGGGAGACTAAAGATGTGGGATGTCTCTGACGTCAAAGTAAAAATTGCTACGCTAGCGCCATCTGTTCCGTCGAAGTCGGTATTTGGCGAAACTGGCCGGGTCCTTGCATAATTGACTCACGGTGTCAATAATTCTCGAACAAGTTCAACTAAACTATATTGCATTTTAAGCCGTTAAAGTATTTTATTATATTTAAGTGTGTACTACTCGCGTAAACTACAGCCACAGACAACTATACTTTTGCATATCTACATTATGATGTCGCGCTATACGTTTAGCGTTAATATACGACCAGGGCCTAAGGGTTTCACTGTTTTAGCAGGTGTACCATTTGCCTTGTTAATGTAGGAATATTAATGGCGGACCTTTCATTAGTTAGGCGGCTCAATGTGAAAATTGATACGGCTAGTTAGCACCCCTTGTAATACTGTCAAAGTTACGCCGAATAGTAGCCCAACTTGATTGGTGAACAGTGTATATAGTACATGTACACAATTTAATGAATGTACTTCACTAATGCTTACTATACATTAAAGTAGCTGATCCGGCAAACGTTTTGTTGTTGGCGATATTAATATTTTCATATTTATACAACTGTACTAAATAATTCGTAATAATGCATTAATTTCGACTAAATTTGATTACGAAAAACGAAACGGTTCTTGAAAGTTGATCTTAAAAGATATACTTATCACCGATCATGTAAAGAGGAATCATTATTTCCGACCTCGCAACGGAAGTCCTCAAAGTTTCATATTTCTTAACTTCTACCCTGTGACCAACAGGACGATGTTAATATTTTTCGATTTATACTCTTACCAAGACAAAAAGAAGTATTCAATTCGAACCAGTAGTCCCTGAGATTATTGCGCTTAAACAAACACTCTTCAGTTTTATAATATTAAATTCGTAATGTATTCGTATAGTTGTAAAAATTGGTTTTACAAACCACAAGATCAATAAAAAATCGTACATTCTTCCAGTTGGTATAAAATATTTATTCCACGATTCGTTGTTCATAACTGCTGTAAAGGATACGAGTCATAGTTGAAAAATATATTAACTAATATACTTCGTGTTTTATATCGTTAATTAATGATTCATTTGATAGGGGCTCTTGAAAATATATACACATTTTCTATGTTTTAATAATAAGTCATATTTTATCTGTACATCAATATAAATGAAATGCGGTAGATATTTTCTCTCTTTTGTGATAATCGTCAGTTCTCTGAAGATAAAACTAATGAAGTCCATCAGAAGTTGTTGTCTAGTTTATTCTATTTTAACATCGCAATTAAGTTTTCAATGAATAACTGAATACTTGGAAACTGTTTTTTTTTTAAATTTGCTTTTACTTAAACCTTGTAAAGTAGTTTTATTGTTATGTTATATATCAATATGGTTCAAAATAAAAATTCCTTAAAACAAAATGGCCGCTGAATGAACGTGAGGTTTTCTTATTAGACTTCCGGGGCGCCTATTACAGTAAAATAATGACTATGTTGAAAGCAATTTAATTAACCTCATTTTATTAACTTTTCCAATACTTCCCTTCAAACATTTTCTAATAAATATTCGATTATTATATTAATTATGGTTCCTTTTGTTTTCAAATATTTTCTTTTATGAACGTCAAAGTATTTTATATATGTATTACCTTATTTGAAAAAATATTTATGTATTATGTATTTTCAAATGTATAATAATGTTTTTACCGCATCTATGTCTAGAATTTTCTTTTACAAGACAAGGTTCACTTTCAGACAAAATTTTGGACCCGGGAATGAAACCCACGATGTAACAAAGACCACCAAGGAAGAGACCGTAAAGAAAAAAATTTAAAATGTAGCCGAGTTTGTCACGTTAAACACAGACAAATGAAGACAGTGAAATGTAAACATTAAAAATATTTAACTTTATTATTTAATGTTTTTTTAGCCCCTCCGCGACTGCGGTTGTTGAAATGTAGCCGATCAGCTTCCGAAACGTCGAGGTCTATGTAAAAGAAATTTAAAATATGTTAACGATTTAAAACGCCGTATATAACGGATATATGGCGTTTTAAATCGTTAAGCTTTTTTTCAAACATAGAAAGTGTTTAAATGTCTAAAATATAATCATAGTTTTTTTTTTTTTCGAACCGTAGACGGTCAAACAAGTCAAATTAAGCCTTTTTCCTAGAAATGCAGAACGAAGCCATTAAATTAAATGACCCCTTTGAAGGATTATGTCTTTCCTTGTTCTATTCCTGCAAAAAACCTTTTCTGAAAAATTCATAACATGCAAATGCAATGCAATTAAAATAATGTATTTTAACGTTGCTATTGTGTATGACATTTACATAAATATAAATGTTCGTCTTGTCGTTTTTCAGGCAATATTTAGATTTTTAAGCTTATAAAAAAAGGCGATCCAATTTCTTTAATTAAATTAATTATAAGATCAGTAAGCTCTGTAAAAAGACACAAAAGATTGTCCGCCCAAAATTATCTCCTAAAAGCTTACATACATAATTAAACTTACAAGATCTATTTTTAATAATAACTATTACTACTTATGTATCTAACTTAAAGATATGCACAACTTTAACTAAATATATTAAATAGAGATTAAAGAAAAACATTTTTACGTAAAAACTAACACTACAGATAAAGGTAAGTTAGAGATTAAACAATATATATATATATATGAATAAATAAGATATATTTAGTCATATTTTTTAGTTCAAATTAAATAGATTTGTATGTATACAAGGCCGTATTGTGTGTAGCTCGCGCGAGTAATACACATTTTTATTGGCCCTTTTCATGCTGAAAATCTAAAATTTCTATATTTCACGGGCTTGTTGGTGTAACGGTAGTAATGTATAGCAAATAATCAACGAGTCGCAGCTTCGATCCCCAGCGGTTCCAACATTTTCATAATCAATTTATAATTTTTCTAAGACATATTGGACTTTGTCTCGAAATCTGGATACTAAATGGGTGGTAGGAATGTCGAAGTTCCGTTCGGGTCACGAACCACAGTCCACAAATGAAAAAGCCGTCAAGTTGCATCGCGTTTTGGTTTCAGTCTGTATATTTATGAATATCTAAAGCCAAAATGGGTCGGCACCACATCTAGAGATGTCAGATTGCTTGGATATTTCACCTACCATGAAGTGAATCCCATGTTTGTTTGTCCTCCTCTGCCATAAAAAAAACTAACATTGAGAAGCGGTTCTATCACTAAATTTAGGGACTTTAAAACAGATTTTTATCCAATATGAAGGAACGACTCGAGCCCCACTAAATCACGGTTGAAAGTTTTGTGTTCAAATAATTCAGACGGATGGCTCTTATTACGAAAGTTTGAATCTTGACTGTGATACATTATGAATGTGACGTTTGATAGATAAATGCGAAGGGACGGCATTATTACTTTTTCCTAAAATAAACTTGGGTTAGATTTTGCGCAAGACTATTTTTAGAACAAAACTTGCCAAAAAAATTATATTCTTCACATGATGGAATATGTTAAAATACTTTACAACAGCCGTGGCCACGATCCGAAACGTCCGGCTGAAATTAAATTACCTAATGTATTTCGCGATTTAAACCGTCAAAACTGTTTTATTTTAGTGCGCACTACACGCGCAATCTACAGACAATACTTACTTATTTCATTTTAAAACATTTGCGTATTATAAGGAATGTACCGGAATCAATAACGGAGTCTTTTGCAAATAAATCCCTTGTTATCTGTTACACTCCATTGTCTAGTTATAAGTTATTCTCAGTACAGCCCTACTGATTCCGGGCACGTGACGATATGGCAGTTGGAACGCGCAATCAATCTTGAAAAACTCGAGCTGAATATATTGCTTTTTACTGAATTTTCATACTTTAAATGGTTATGTACTGTACAGATATCTGAGCTTAATGAAAATATAGTACAGTTTTATTTATTCAAAAAAGAAAAATAACAGATACCAAGAAATCCAAAAGTAAGATAATTTACGTAAAAAGTTTCACAGATAATTTACTATAAAAGTAAGTTAAACCAAACATATATTTTCAAAGGAATAATAATAAAAAACCGACACGACCAGTTACGTGACGCGAAACTGTGTTTCAAACGCGGCTTTTGGTTTGATCAAGTTAAAAATCGGTTTTAGATTAAAACAAATTTACGACACGGGCA